ATCTTGTGTACTCATTTTGTGATATTGATAAAGTGTACCTATGGACTCTATTACTTTAAGCAATATAATTTTTTTCTCTGTAAATGGAATGAAAGAATTAAAAGTCAAGTTTCTCAGTAGAGCCTAGCTTAAAGTGTTTATCTGTTTTATTTTCATGTCTGAATTCTTCCTGATATCTAAGTATAGTATTGCAGAAACCTTTTTCTTCCAATTGTAACTTCCCATTCCTCATTTAGGAAATCTTCCTCAGTAATTGGTATATTTAACTTCGGCATTGCTTCTGGATTGGACATCAGGAATCATTTGCACTAACCATTTGTCTAACCTTTTCGTTTTTTGTTTTATCATTGATTATTTATCTATGCAGTGGTGTGGAATCCTTGGGATAAGAAAGCAAAGGCTATGTCTGATTTCGGTGACGATGAGTATAAGCATATGCTTTGTGTAGAGGCTGCAGCTATTGAAAAGCCTATCACTTTGAAACCTGGCGAAGAATGGAAGGGAAGACTAGAACTTTCAACTGTACCTTCTAGTTATTGTAGTGGGCAGCTTGATCCCCAGAGAGTTCTTCAAGGAAGCTGAAAGATCATGATTGTGTTCTATGTCCTGTACAGGTAATACTGCCCATTGATATATTTCTTTCAACATTTCTTTTAACATTATCGTACAAAATGAATTACATAATCGTTGTGTTACTTTTTTCTACTTCCACCTTGAGATTCTGAATATATCAGAAAATAGAAAGGAAAGCACTGTGCTGTGTAAACCATGAAACTACAAAGAAGGATTAAGAAACAGAATTCTACATCTCGTGTATTTTCATTCAAGTTTGGAATTAATTAGTTCCAGCATGATGTCATAACTCCTGACTTTATAGTGTATCAAATTTTGGCCTTTATATTAGACCAAGTTTGATTCGGGTGCTTGAATCTGATTGATCAGCTTTAAATTAGTCTATCTTTAGTTCTTGTCTGTGTTGATGCAGTTAGATGTTTCACTAATCATTTAGGAAATATATATCCGCAGGTAGCTTGTTGCCAGTGATGAACGATGAAAGGAAAGGGTCTCTGAGGATATTTTCCTCTTCATGTTCCATTTAAATCTTACGAACTCCTGTATGTAGTTTTTTTAAATATTATTTTCCTGTAACGGGGTGATTAGTTCGATCATAACAAACGTACAAGTAGAATAGCCGACAGTTGTTATGGGAAGTCGAAATTTCAGCCTACAATTGTAACGGTAATTCATTTTGGGTTTTGTTTTGTTTTTGTGAAGTTCATTTTGGGTTGAATGGCCCAGACCAGTGGGATTACTTTTGACCCATATTAAGTGTGACCAAATTGAGTTGATCCAACACGAGTTAACTCGAGTTAAGCTGCACCAAATTAAGTTAAGAATATTTGCTTGAATTTGTTAAACCAATCCATATATTTTAGCGAAATATTCAAGTTAGTCTGTGGTTCTAGCCCATTTTATATTTAATTGTCATGTACTCATGTTATTCTTCTTAATGAGTTTCCTTTTATGGTGATCATGTAATAATCTCAGTTGAATCGATTACAAGCAACGCTTAAGATTTAACACATTTAAAATAAGAGCATATTCATTAAAAAAATGAAATTATAAATATAATTAGAATTATAAAATTATTATGGCAATTTCAATAATTATTCTGTTAATGAATATCTGTTTTTTATAATGTGCTAAACGATATATTATAAAAAAATTATATATAATAGTTTTTATTAAAAAGTATAAAATATAAGATTTAATACATTTATTAAAACTTCATACGTTAAAAACTGAATTAATAATTATAATTTGCTCGTTACTCGTTTTAGAACAGCTGAATCTCAAAGTCGAATATATTGTTGATTTGTCTTTCTGTCCATATGCATTGTTGCAGCACACCCTGAATTTCATGTAAATGAAACCAACCAAGTGTCAAATATGAAGATCATAGTTGTAAGAGTTATGGGCGAGTCGTGGTGACCGACTTCGATATGTTACCGAATCGCTTCTTCGGCCAATATCATTGGCATATTTGTTGCCTTGAAGTGTAATTAAACCTACGAATCTGCCAAATAATTTAATATAATAATTTAAATAATTAACGCATCAATTTGTACAAGGACAAATTTGTGGATTTACTTTTAATTGAAATATTTAAGGTATATTTTTTCACTGTATTTTTATGTCACTTTTAAAAAAATTAGATCAACATAATAATTACTATCTAACTTTCAATTTTACATTTAAATTATTATCTTATCGTTATAATTTTTCAGTATATTTTTATAAACTATTTAACAAAAATATTTTCTAATTCATGTTTGTTTCAGTTTACTTTATAGAAAATAACTGTTTTTAAAGTTATCCTTAGAAGAAGGAAAATAATTTTTTTTCTAAAATAAATTAAACTAAATTTGTACTTAACTATCAAATATTCTAATTATATTCCCTTTTATCTTCCTTTCTAAAATTTTGTATTGGCATTATAAAAAATTAAAACTTTGAATGAGTGTGTGAATATATTATTCTTTTAAAAAATTTAAGTTTTGGTAAGTATTTTGATGTTAATGGTCTTAATTTATTTTCAATATTAAAGGTGTTGAAAGAAGCATGAAAAAATTATTATCCGACTAAAAATATTAAATTATATCAATATTTTATTTTATTTTCAAATGATTATATTACTATGTGCAATATTAACTAATGCCTGTAACTATGGTGAAATTTTTTTATTCTATTCAAGATGAGCTGTTTTGGAAGATAGATTAAGTGGATTAGTAACATTATTATTGATTGAAATATTATATTTAATTAATTATAAATTTATAATCAATCAATTTACTGTTTAGAATTCTTTAAAACAAAATAAAATTTCATTAGTTATATATATTAAACTACACATCAAACATAGATTTTCCCTAATTTTCTAGATGTCTTTGATTGAAAAAGTAGTTTCCGTACTACTCTCTAATCATAATCAAACTCAAAGTATAATTTAATAATAAAGAATGTTAACTTCAACTTAGTATCAAGCTTAAATAATTAATAATAGTAAATTGTATTAAAAATATTATAATTTTAATATAATAAAATGTTATTTTTAATAAAAATTTGTTACTTTTAAACACAATAATTTTATTTTTAAAGGTTAAGGTACTTGTTAGTAATATTACTAACTGAATATTAAAAATTTATAGAAACTATAAGTTAAGATCCTCCTTGAGAAAACAAATTAAGGTCTTAAAGTCATTTCGAAATTGGTCAAAATTAAGGTGCCTCTTAGAACTTGGCAAACTTGACGTAGACAACAAGAAATGGTGTGCTACTTCTTTTATTATACCTGCTGGTGGTTTTTTAAAGAGAGATTCAAGCGTTGATCAAGAAAATCAACTCAAATTTAGTTGTTTCTCTTACTCTTACGAAACACGTATGTACAGCAGTATGATGATAGCGTGGAAGAAAGAAAGAAGAAAAAAACTATATATAGAATAAATCCCCATGAAATAGAAAAGTACAGCGCAATTAATAAAAATAACTAATAACAAATTGCAACTAATTATTTGAATCTTGCAATCAATTATCAAACATAGGAGGCATGTTCCACAGCATTTGATTTCGTATACATATTATGCAATGAAAGGAATGAAAAGGAAAAAACAATTATCAGAGTCACTGTATCTTATATTTTACTTTTTTGGTAAAAAAAACTATAATAAATATTTCATATAAACATATACAAAAATGGTTTATGCTATGATATTAAATTTATAGAAAAATGATTTGTATGGAAAAACAAACTACCAATGCTGTATAAGAATATTTGATCTGACATCAGAATGCAACAAACACATGTACACTATTAACTATTACCAGAAGTTTGGTTTCTTCTGTTGATGCAGATATTCTCTTTTTAAAAATTAACTTTAATATCAATGTTGTGAGTGTATATTTTCTTTCCGTTTTTTTAATAAGAAACTTTAATAGATTTTGGCTAGCTAGTTCTAAACCAATAAATCATATTACTATTATAACTTTGAAAGGAGAAGGGATTGGCAAATGTAACAGCGCAGGGGAGTAGTTAGGAGACGTGAGTTGGTGCATTGGCAAAGGTAACATGCAATGCAATTTGTTTGACTCTCTCATAAAGATCAATGAACTGCCAAGCTAGACATTTAAGTACTATATTCATATTTAACATTTACATTTGAAATATAACACTTTATGCAGAGCATGACTTCATTGCAAAACTTAGGGGTTTATATATATAGAGTATCAATTGATATAATAAAATTCTATTTTTAATTAAAAATAATATTAAAAGTACTTAAAGTACTGCACATAAATATTATACAAATATATAATTTTCCTAACAAATTTTTTATATAGTAATTTAGAATAACAGTAGTATTAAACATAAATATTTTACTAATTTATTTAAAATTGCATTATTTGACATAATATATATATATATATATATATATATATATTATATAACCTTTTTCTCGTCAGTTCATAAACTAAATTTCTTTCGTCCTCAAGAACATGCTTAACCGACCATTCCCGTTATTATTATTATTATTAATATATAACCGCAAACTCTGGCACTATCAACCCTTAAATTGGTGAACACAGCTTATAATTAATTAATCTACCACATCTTCAATTTTTAAAGGTTTCTTGTAGTCAATGTGGCTTCCCTTATCCTCTATCTGATGGCAACATGACATTTACTAATAGTCTATTAGTCTAATATCAATGGCCAGACTGTCCAGGTAACGCGTACACCATTGTTATTACTCTCATCAATAATAACTCATGATCAATCATTCTCCAATTATTATCCCATTTACCCCTTTTTTTTATTAATTAGATTTCAATTACATAAGTTTTTGTTGCTCAAAGCTCAAGTGGGGTCATGTTAACTATGTATATAAGTGGATAGATAGATGTTGGAACCAATTCGAAGTAGCAAAAGAGAACATTTAGTGATGGAAGCTCCTAAATTTGTCTTATTTTCCTTGCTTCTTCTCATGGCTTCTACTACTACAAGCTATGCTCAACTCACTCGTGGCTTTTACCAACATATATGCCCCAATGTGGAGCAATTGGTTCGCTCTGCCGTCACACACAAGTTCCAACAAACCTTTGTGACTGCTCCTGCCACTCTTCGACTCTTCTTCCATGATTGCTTTGTGCGGGTGTGTAGGCCTTCTTCATCATTTTCATGCTTTTCTTCTACAGTTCGAGTTTTCATATCTATATATTTTGAATCTTTTTTAAAAAAAATTATATAATTATGTGTACAAATGTTTGCATTTAGAAACCAACAGAAACTATATATATATAGGTGAAATGGTGTATGCAATTAGTCTACATTATCCTACTAGATCCTAATGAAATTTGTGCATATTTAGACTATAATGTAAATACTAGGATTTTAAAAAGATTATTAATTTTTATTTTGGGTTGTTGATTATTTTGTGTGTACGATGATGACAAAATTCTTTTTTCGTTTTTGTGCACATAGGGTTGTGATGCTTCGATTTTGATTGCATCTCCAAATAATAAGGCAGAGAAGGATCATCCTGATGACATTTCACTTGCTGGGGATGGCTTTGACACTGTGGTTAAAGCCAAGGCAGCTGTTGATGGGGATCCAGGGTGCAGAAACAAAGTCTCTTGTGCTGATATTCTAGCTCTCGCTACTAGGGATGTCATAAATTTGGTATGATTTCATTTATTATATGTACTTCTTTGACTTATTTTCTTTTTGAAATTATTGACCAAGAATTTTATTTGTTTGTTTGAGTCAATCCCAAAAATGCACATCAAGAATTATTGCATATATACACATGCATGTGAACATCTTTCACTATACTAAACTTTGATTATATTATATTGTTTGGTATAGCATACCAAGTAATAATCCTATAACTGCATAATATTGTAGGCAGGGGGACCATTTTATAATGTTGAATTGGGAAGGCGTGATGGAAGAGTATCTACTATTGCTAGTGTTCAACGCCATCTTCCTCACCCTGAGTTCAATTTGGATCAGCTCAATTCCATGTTTAGCTCTAATGGCCTTTCCCAAACAGATATGATTGCATTATCAGGTAATTTCACTATAAAAATAAGACGTTTTGTTTTCCCCAATAATATTATTGTTTTAGAATAAAAGAATATAATCCAATGTATTTATTTATAATGTTTTAGGTGCACACACAATTGGGTTCTCCCACTGCAACCGCTTCTCAAAACGAATTTACAGCTTCAACCCCAGAAGTAGAATTGACCCAACACTAAATTTACAATATGCTTTCCAGCTTAGACAAATGTGCCCTATAAAAGTTGATCCTAGAATTGCTATAAACATGGACCCTGTCACGCCTCAAAAGTTTGACAACCAATACTTCAAAAATTTGCAGAAAGGAATGGGTCTCTTCACTTCTGATCAGGTGTTATTCACAGATGCAAGGTCAAAAGCCGTAGTCAACTTATTTGCATCAAATGAAGGAGCTTTTCAAAATGCTTTTGTTGATGCTATTACTAAGTTAGGAAGGGTTGGTGTTAAAACTGGAAATCAAGGTGAAATTAGATTTGATTGCACCAGGCCAAACTAGGAAAGTATCATCATTTCTTTATGGGGGGTTAAAGTGAGTTGTGTATACTTGATAATTCATTATTGTATTAATAATTGGTGAAGTTCTGAGTTCAATTCGTTGGTTCAAGTAATACTGATTTGATCCCTATTATTATCTTTTCTTTTATATTTGATCTGGTACTTTTCAAATATAGCTGCGAGACTGATCTTTTAAAACCAAAATAAAATACTTTAATTAAGATGCTTCTATAAGAGTCATTTCAAATGACAATATTAAAATGTAAACTTTTTAACATTGTAAGCAAATTCTATCTTAAATTAAAATTTGCTTTTCCTGTGTGACCAATGATTATTGAATAATTTATATGGTTATTTTAAGAGGCACTAACGCTCGTAAATAAAATAAAATAATAAATTAATATGCAGCCCTTTTATCATTAATGATTTAGAAATAGAAATGAAAAAATAAAAAATAAAAAATCACATCAGTTTTATGCTTTCTATGTGATTTGTTTTGGTTTTAATTAATGAAGTAACCAATAAATTTCTTGCATATTGTACGTATAATTTCAATTTACAGAATTAAAAAAAAAATTTAACATAGAAACAATCTTTACTTGTTCGCTTCATGAACAGGAATAATCTCCCGTTAAAGAGTGATAATTCTTGTATCCTCTTATAAACTTTGACAAATAAGGGAATTAGTAAAATAATGTATTTTAATAAGTGAAGTGTAAAATCATTTATTTAATTTCATTTTAAATGAATAATTAATATTTAATAATTTTTAGATAAAATTTGGAGGTAATAAAAAGTGGATAAATTCCATTCCCCTTCCTTCGTCTCTCTTCCCCTCCCAATTTCGAGTGAAGGTTTCTTCGTGGGAGCAAAGTAATAGCAAATGTCTTGAAAATCGATAGGGGAATAAGTGTTATCTTGCATGCATTATAGAGTTCAGAATATTGTTAGAAGAAGGAAATCAGGAAAAGAGAGAATAGAGTTATCTCCAGAAGACAATTCAGGAAAAACTTACCAAGAACGGTAGAGGATGGAACCCCAAAGGTCGCTTGTGGATAGAGCAAAAGGGAACGAAGCTCCTGTCTTTGATCTTGGGAGACAGTAGTTGCGAGAGAAGAACGAAGTGAGAGCTCTTGGGAGGAAGGTGTGGTTCGAGGAGGAGATGGCGACGAGTGCTGCGGTGTCTCTGATCGGTTGCGGTGACGTCGGTGCGAACCGTTACGGACCGTGACAGTTTTTGTCTCTTCGTTGCCGGGTTCGGGGGAAGGAGGAGTTTCTGTTTGGGTTCACGACAAGGTTGGGGTGCTAAGGGCGAGACGCCCGTTGCACACAAGAGAAGCCATAGGTGAGGTTTGAGCTCAGTTTGGCTACCAACGAAAAAGAGGATTTTGTTTTTTCACTTGTATGTGTTGTGTCTTGTGCAATGCAATTCCATCTTCTGAAATTTGGAAATTTTGTCCTTTGGTACTGGTTTCTCCAACCATGGCATTCCGGCGGAGATGACGTCACTCCCGGAGAAGAAGAGGAAGATGTTAACCTGCATCACCGGTCTTATTTTTAATAATAAAAAATTTCTCTTGCTATCAAATGAAGGATGCATGCTTGGGCCTGTTTAAGCCTTTTTTTGGTCTAACAATTGCAGTTTTGAGCCTCAACATAGGCTTTTCTGTTTTTTTTATCCCACTTTTGTAGCTTTGTGTGGGCCAAACATAAACAAATTGGATCCAATGCAAATGTGTTCTCTCCAATTCACGCGGGAACTGAACGTCCAGTTATTTTTTTGCTTAAGCGAAAATTGGTTATTTTTGCTTAAAATTATGATAAAATGGCTGAAGCCAATTTGCATAAAACAAATGGCTTAAGCGAAAAATAGATAGAGAGTTTTAATTTTCACTCAATTTTCTCTTCTCCTTTCTCCTAAACATAACATTTCCTCCTTAACAATATTCCGGTACTCTACCGGTTATTACTTTTATTACTTGCAACAGAGTCGGTATACTTGTCGTGTTTGAAGAAAAATAAACCAACACTTTTATTACTTTTATTTTCCTTCAAACACTGCAAGTATACCGGTTCTGTTGCAAGTAATAACCGGTAACATACCAGAATATTGTTGAGGAGGAAATATTATGTTTAGAAAAAAAGAGAAGAAAAAATTGAGTAAAAATTAAAACTCTTTGTCCATTTTTCGCTTAAACCTATTATTTTCGCTTAAGCTATTTATTTTATAAAAATTGGCTTAAGCCATTTTGTCATGATTTTAAGCGGAAATAACTCATTTTTGCTTAAGCAAATTTTTTTGCTTAAGCAAAAAAATGACTGAACGTTTAATTCCTGCGTGAACTGAAGAGAATCTAGATTTGTGTTGCCTCTCCAACCAAAAATTTATCTAATGTGAAATATAATATTTATTAACTATAAAATATTATAATTTTTTAAAAAGCGTTTATTATGGTATCAATAAATTTGAGAAGACATTTTATGTCTTCTTTAAATTAATAATTATAAAAAAAAGTAAAGTCTTAAATTCAAATTTTTGTATATAAAAAAAATCTTTTATAATAGATTTATCCATATTTAAGTACTAAATCTCTTTTCAAAAATAAAAGATTTGAGACCCTTCTTTATTTATTTTTCTTCTCAGGATCTTGAGCAGTTCCAAGTCGAAATAACTTACTCTTGAATTTCTAACGAAAAGATTCACCAGCTAGTTGTTATGCATATATACACACATATCTTCAGGTACCGTTTATACGCAGTATCAATATGTTTTGCTTATAAATAAATTAACTGAAACCGCTATTAAGAGTGGGAAAATGACATCGACATTAAGAATCACTCTATATCATAAAGAAACAACTTGTGAGGAGACAAAATCCACCTGCATATTGTGACTGTTTTGTTTGCAAGAGACACAATCGGGAGAGCAATGATAGCCATTTATTACGAGACTTTGCCATGTGATCTCTTAGCCTACTTGGTGACGGTGCGTATCATTTACAAAATACTGAAATTTTTTTTGTTGAGTTCATTAGTCTTTTAGATTCCTGTATGCTGAAATACACTCAAAATTTACAATAGCATTATTTAGTTAGAAAAAAAATGTAGGGAATGAAAACAATTTTAGAAGTATTGCGAATTAGTTACTATATACAGAAAGGGAACTCAGAAGTGGGTGTAGAAGTTAATTGTTTATTGGAATAAAGTAGAAACTAATATAGGAATCTGAATGCATGAACCATATAAATTCGGTGGTCCATGTAAGAGTTGAAAGGATACAAACAAACAAGTCATGCTGCTATTTAAGCTTTAGACTTTGAGAAAGCCAATGTGGCCCCTTTCTTTCCTGAGTAAATGTCACAGTGGAGCTGGTCATTGGGGTGGTGGGGTCATTGCATTCTACTACTCTATCTGATTTCTCATTGGTTGAGTTTGAACATGATAATTGAGGTATATGAGAGTTCTTAACTTGGCTACCTCCTATACTTAGTGTCAAATCCACTTCCATTTCTTCATCAAAGCCACCACTAGTGCTTATTTTACAACTCTGAAATGCTGTGCGGGAACTAGGCCCCGCCTCACCTTCATAAAAGCCACGCGCTACAGTGAAAGTGTCTCCCTCAGCAGGCCTTTCAAGATCAAAACCTCTTTGCATTTTGATGATGTCTCCAGAGAAGCTTCCACTCCTTTCTCTGGAGCCTAGATCCTCTCTCAAATTTTTTACATGGAAATCAGAGCCGTATGAAATCTGTGTTGTTTGATGTTGCTGCTCAGTGGAATGTGGATAGCTTACATCTATATCATTTATGGGGTTCCAAAATTTATGTGGTCTAATTTCATTTTTGAGCTCATCCATCAGCATCTTTTGCACACTGTATACCCGGTGTAGTTCTCTTACCTGCAAATTCCCAATCTTTGTGATTGCTAACTAGTAAAAGATTAAAATAATAGCTGATCATCATGTCCTTTCAACAGGGTTGTCACTAATATTTCACATATGATGGCTACTTAGAATTGTTGATTAATCAAGTTGATTGAGTGATAAAAATAGGGCCATGGATACGATGTCACAGAATGAAGGACTTCATTATACAGAGTGAAAGTATTATGATTGATTTGCATTTTACATGTAATATGCAGTACAGTGGTTCCAAAGATAAAGAAAGGCTACATAAATGGACAGCCTCTCCTTTAATCTTGAATGCTCATGAATTTACACCCAAAAAACTTAATAAGACCCTTGATTGACCCCATGACTCTGGTTTTCATGTAGCCAAACATTTGTTGCACTGATTGAATGGCAACCTAAATTCCATATTCCATATTTGTTAAGATGAAAAGTTCAATCATATACCACACTTTAGAATACCTGGTGTTTGAAGATGTCCTCATGCTTCTGCATTGTCTTTTTGATGGATTCTTTATTGTTTCTGTCAAGCATCCTATCCATGGGATCTCGTAATTTATAGATTCCAGTCCTTTGATGGTTGCTCTGATAATGCTCCCAGACATGCACTCCACCAACAGATAGGTTGTTGCTGTCTACTAAGGTTGCTAGAAGATTTATGGAATATTCAATTTTGGTTCCCATACCTGAAAAAAAAATATTTTCAACACCTTGTATGTGCAAGGTCAATGAATCGAGTAAAAAACTAGAAAATTTATTTTTACTGTGCAAATTCTTGAGAGAAGTAATGAATAAAACTTGTGTTGTTCCTTGACTGTTTTTATGTTAATCAATGAAGTTATCATTATGATCTCTCGAGCTAAAATTTGAAGATCAGGAAATTCAGCTAGGCCAAGGATTGGAGAATTTGATTTTATATATATAAACAACAGAAACTGGAAACTCAGAATTTAGTTCTAGTTGAAACCCAAAATGGTAGGTAACCATACCTCACACCATAATCAATCAGTTCTATGGCAATGAATTGAAATGAAAATTCCACATGATCAATCAGTCATGATATGCTGACATTATTATCCTGCAAGATTCTGTCATTGCCCTTTTTGGTGAATAGATGCAGGCAATATGTATAGAAAAGATTCTAGTTTGTTCTGTAAGATAATTTGTCAAAATAGGGGCTTTCACTTTAGTGACCAAAAGTGGAAAGAGACGGGACCTAGAGAATCTATTCATTGAAATCTTCGAACGTGCAATTAAACATTGCTGGGACACCTAAGAAGCGTGTAACATGAACAGTAGATGTAGGCAATAGTGAAACCAACTAATATGTGGGTCTCTGATTGTATGATGACAGCAGCAGCACTAGCCATAAGGCCTATAACAGTGATCTTCATCTCCTACTACTAGGTACTGGCCTCTGAAAAGTTCCCACTTATGCTTGTTTCTTATAAAGCTAAGCTTTTTTGAGCTATTCTAAATACAACCACCAAACTTTATATCCTTGAAGTTAAAATAAATCGGCACTCAAAATGAAATCAAGAAATTTCAAATATCACTGCATCACATAGCCTCACGGAGTTTTCATGTCAAGGACATGTGCAAGTCAACTTGTTTTCTTTTTGTTATTCTTGAAACTTTTGATGTACCACCATGGATGGACAAGTGATACCAAATCCGTGGCAATTAAAACTAACAACAAAAGATGCTTTTAATGTGATGAATTTAATACTTAGTTAAGAAGCATTGAATCGCAGAAGTCAGAAAACTGCAACACCCTCAAACACCATATATATGTTTTGAGTTACCACATAAACAAAAGTTTTCACTAGGATTTGATGCTGATTCTAGTAAGTGGAAAAACATACGTGGATTGTAGCTCTAATACCTGTAACAAGTAGTACCAAAATTGCTGGTTTCTGTGATGAAAGTCATTGAACATCGTCTTCCCTCATGCCAGCATTTATACCCATGAGTGAGCCTTAGAAATAAAGACTAATACTAATATTACAAGTGGCCAATTGTTTCATGATTTTCCTTGAATCATTTTCGAGGCAAAGGACGGATCAATCCAAAACAGTGCACCACCTGGAGAATCCTGAGAAAGCTCATAGACAGCAGCAAATCTCCTGGCAGATGAGAACCATTCAACCCTTTACTAAGAAACAACAAAGCAACCAGCTCAAACTTGAAACTGTAATCATGAATTTAATAATTAAGGCTTGACAGGCTGTGAGGGAAGGAGGCAAGAGAAAAGGTGGAGTAGCAATGTGTCTGTATGTATGTGTATGAATGATGACTATGTGTTATTTAGAGAGAGAGAGATAGATGTATGTTCATATTATATAATATATGAATATTTTGTATCTGTATTCTAACATTTACTGTAGTTGATTGTATTTTGTACATGTTGTTGCTTCACTGTAACGTGGGAAAGTTTAGGAGAGAGGGCCCCACAAATATGTATAATAAAAACAAATGACACTTCTAAACATGAGCCAATGTAGGCCAATGAACAAGATATTCCAGACAAAGTCTTACAGGACTTGATCAAGATATGCATGAGCAATCAAAGTTGGTGCTTTTTTACTATACCCCTCTCTCTCTCTCTCTCTCTCACTCACTCACTCAAAATTTCCTTGATTTTGAAAATTCAACTATTGGGATTTGATTATTCTTTCCGTACATGCAGAACAACCAACTGTTGTGTTTGAGATTTCATAAGAAAAGAAACCAAATATGTCAGGTATTATTGGGGTTCCTTATAATATTTTTTTCTCGACAGGAGTAAATTTCATGGGCTTGGGATTTGAAATTGGTAATGACTATTTTCCTTCTCGTACACTGTAGGTTGATGCAAATAATCACAACTTTTATTGAGAGGATCTAATATTATGCAATTATGCACGTTTCTTCTTTGCCTCTCAACAAAATTTTTCCTTTACTCCCAACATTTGTTCGTCCAAGTTAAAAGGTAATTATTTTTTCTTAAATAAAATGTTTAATTCGAATATTATAAATGATAAAAAGTAACTTTGAGCGAGTTTTACCTTTTTAAATGATTTCATTTAACTAAATTTAAATTAGTTTATGATTAGAAAAAACTTATAATTATTTAAATTATAATTAAATTTTTTAATTAATTAACATTAAAGTGAACATAAATTTATAATTATTTAAACGTAAATCTAAACACACTTCTATTGTGTTAAGAAGTGAGTTAATTACCAATTAACAATGTTTGGTAAATATTATAAAATTAAATTTTTGTGTTATTGTGTAGACTCATCATAGAATCAAACACTTACTTAATCAGAGTTGAATATAATAAAATATTAAGGTGTCAAATAAATAAATAAAAAAAACCTTTATATGTTTCGCTGTACATGAAACCTAATTTATGATTTTTATTTTCAAATAAAAAAGATAAAGTGAATTCCACTCATTCTGTATTTCCTCTTGAAGAATAAATAAAGCAAGAAATAATACCTTGATTGTGCCTTCACTCTTCTGTAAAATTCCTTGAAAAGATGTCTATTTATGAACTATAAACAGAAAACATGATAAATAAAGCAAGAAATGAAATGTTCCCACTTCACTTGTGCCTTCACTCTCCTGTAGTTTCCCTACAATTTTAAAGATTTGTGATCATTTTCTTGTTCAAAAAACATGGATCTCTTGTCACAAAGAACAATATATTATATCAAGCAATCCTGTGTATTATATCAATAAATCATAAAAAATTTTAAAATATAAATCTAAACAATATCTATTAATTCTATGTATTTATTATATCTTTAAAATTTCTTTAATGTTTGCGTGTTAATTAAAAAACATTGATGGTCATCTAATCTAATTTAATCGTCAAGGTGAATAGAAAAATGTTAATAAGTTGTCAGTAATAAGCAAAGCAAAACATGGGAGTTAAGACTGAGAGAAGAGAAACTTGTCATCTCTCTCACCCATCACTATCCCCATAAAAGCTGAATGGCAATATAAATTCCATATATAGACTTCAACTTTACAAGCTTCCAAGATTTCAAAATTATGATGCGCATAAATCAGAACCACAAAATATATATATATATATATATATATATATATATATATATATATATATTTGTCCAATAATTGATTCTGAATCGTTAAGAAAAACATAGATTTTGCTATTTGAAATATCCTTTCATAGGCCTGTCTTTGTCTCTTACTTGTTTAGTTTCTGTCCGGAATTCCTCTCTAGTTTTGTATGGTGTAGCCTTAAATGCTACAATTGGTTCGGCAAATTGATCAATAACACGCGTGATAAGGTGTTCCTTGAATTAATTTTGTTGTCTGTTTTTCTTTTATTTTGGTCTGGGTAGCAGCAAAAGAGCAAATAATTGTAGTTGATATTTATAATTTATTATCCCTTATCCATTCTTCTTTGAAGTAACATTAATTTCTCTCATTTTATAAATCTTTTAAGGAGTTTATTGATTATAAAAAGTCACTTAATTTAATGTATGTATAAAACTATAGTTTCACTGTTTATAAAAATTAAAAGTTTTATTAAAAAAATAGTATTTAATTTAATACATTTTTTACAAAATTAACAGCCTAACTTATTTAATTGTTTTTTTTTAAACAAAACCCTTTTTATTTCGTTTCAATGGCATGTATATATACGAGAGACTCCTAATTTTATTTAGGAATTGGATCAACACTTTGAAAAGGATGAGAAATTTCTTCCACGTTTATTATATATGGTGAAATTGCCTAACGATATAGAGCCATGAAATACTTGATTGAAATTATAATTTCACTATTGTATAAAACATAATGGTTATTGAAGAATGTTAATTATTGTGCAGAAAGATTTTTTTGTAAAAGCTTCACGAATATAAAATGGTTAGACGGTAGTGAATAAAAGGTGGACGAAACTATTAATTTTCGAGTCATTTAATGTTTTGATGACCTATGTACTGGTATCAACATTTATCATTAAAAATGATTTTAAATATTTAAAAATAATATTTATTAAAAAACATATTTGATATTTATTATCAGTAACTAAAAAGCTTATGTTATTTCATTCTGTACGTTTTCAAATTGATGAGATATACTCATCATATTAAATGGCGCTTTCAGACTTTTATTTACCTTGTCATATTTATTTATATTTTAAAAATATATTATTTCTTAATATTAAATAATATGATTAAACATTTAATAATACTATTTTTATAAAATTTATTTATTTAATTATAATTGTTAAACTAACAATTAAATTAATTAATTTTATATTTTATAAAAAATTATTAAACACTATAAATATTCAAGTCTAACACCTAATATCAATAAATTTTCACTTTTTTTATTACAATATACTAAAAACTTAATGTGTCACCGTTGACTTTTGAATTATGAAACAAAAAGTTCATATAAAACAAATTTATTTTAAAAATAAAAATATTTTTACTTTGATAAATATTAACTAAAAAATTTTAAATATTGATAAGAGATAGAAAATAAAAAATATTTTTTAATTTTAATATATCTAGAGCTATACGTTATTTTTTTATATAAAAAAAGTTGCTTATTAAAATTTCAACCAGTGTCTTAAATATATTAATTAGCAAGACTTATTTTCAAGAAATTAAAGTTGTTTTTAATTATAATTTAACAGTACATTTTATTTAGAACAAAAGATAAATAAATTTTTAATAATTATTGTCATGTCTTAGTATGAACCTGACATGACAAATTAGCGAGATTATCAATGAGCGGCAAAACTAAGATGAGAGAGAGAGGGATGAGTTTCGATTTTCTTGGAGAGTGACGTTGTTGCCTATGTGATTCTCTATATCTGAGTAGACCAACGAATTTGTGGTGGACATCAAACATTGTCAAAATCAAAGATGAGATTTGCATCCATCTTCCCTGAAGAGGATCTTGTCTGTCATTAGCTAGTTTTTATTCTTAGCATGACGTACGGTAATAAAACCAAGCTCTCCCAGGTTTGAAAATCAGATAAACAGGTGACATGTACGTGGGCGTGACTCACCAAACTTAAATTGCTGAACAAGATTCCTACACTGAACTGATCTTGAGGATGTTTTGGTAGAATGACACCTGACCAATCCATAAATAACCCAAACCAACCCAGGTTTTGGTGTTGGAGCATAAAACAAAAGAGAACGAGAGTAAGGGTATGCATGATTAAAGAACAGTCCTGGATTTCACTTGCCGTAGCTTCTTCAATTAGATCAAGAAAGGCACGCGTTGTAGCCTTACTAAGGCCCAAGCCATCCGAAAGTAGACCCACCCATCACCACTCATCCATATGCCTTTTCAAATTCGCTTCAATTTGTACAAATTCTTTTTTTTAAAACACCTAAAATTGACACACATTATACACTCTTTTTTTTGTGTTATAAGTATGTCTACATTCTAAATTCTAAAGAGATATTTACAAATCTTTCTCCATTATATACTCTATCTTTACTTTCTACATTAGTAGAAATAGTACCGACACTTTTTATTTATTAAGTAGTTATCTTCATCTATCATGATCATACAAACCCATAAGAGATTCTTTTCTCAAGATAAATCCAAATAACTACATAGTCACTCGTCACATAAGCCTTTCCATCCCTAAAATGCTGCTTTGTTCCCTTATTTTCTTTTCTTGGCTTCTATCTGGATTAGTTCATGATTCTTATTAGCTTTAAGTCTTGTCAATTTCTATAAATAACATTTAACTATTCGATCATTATCGTATCCAGAGGTGGTCCTTGTCTGTCTTGTATTTGTCCCCCATCCTTATAACTTAAATTTTAATTTCACGGGTCTAAAGAAAACATGGTTAATTAATCAAAAGGTACACACTATCCCAAGATAATAAATCGTTTATTGGATCTCAATCTCGAGCATATTTTCATCTTCTGGATGCATCTGGTGGGCCCCATTTTATTATAAAAAAAAACGATTGTAAATGTAATTGGTCACTTCAAATTAGTTGCTTGAGTTTCAACAAATGGTTGCCACACTAAGTGCCGTCATGATCCGAAGATTCATAGGTCACATTCACACTTACATATTATATGGATTGTGATAAGGTATGACAAGAAAATGTTGTGATAAGGGGTCCAAAAATTATGGTGGTGACACTTGTCAGTCGCCCAACATGCATATGGTTCTTAGTATTCTTATCATGTTGTTTTCAAGCTCCAACCGAGTGTTGAGGATATAATGGTCAATTTGTGATTTGACCTGTTTTGGGATCAATTTTTTATTAGTTAGGATATTTTTTTCATGTGGC